ACTCTTGAGAAGTTTACAGCCTGAAAAGTCATTACCTAGTATAATAATTACCTTTTGGTAGCTGAATATAACAACAATCAATTCACATTAGTAGAAAAAGGAGAAAAATCATACGACAATGGTGACAAGTGAAGAAAAAGCATGTGACAAAATTCTGTACCTGTTTTGGACAAACACTTTTAACAATCTATGACAAGGAAGGGAATGTCTTTAGTCTGGTTAAGAATATCTGTGAAAAAGCAAAAAACCCCCAGAAAATCCTATGACAAATACCACAATTACACAGAAATAGTTAAAACTTTCCCTTGTCATTACAAACAAGAAAAGGGTATCCACTATCACACTCCCATTCAACGTTGTACTGGAGATCACAGTTGGCAGAACAAAGCAGAAAAATAAATAAAAGGAACACAAATTGAAAAAGAAGTAAAATTGTCAACATTTGAATATGATATGATTGTGCTCACAAAAAAGCTAATAAAACCCACAAACCATTATAAGATTGAGTGAATTTGGTAAGGTTGTTGGATAAAACTCTACCTAGGAAAACAACTCTCTTCTCTGTATATCATTCTGAAGCTCACATTTAAAAATTTTGGAAAAAAATGTCATTTACACTAGCTTCAAAACATATCAAATACCTAGCAATAAATCTTTTGAAAGATATGTAACACATTCATACTGAAAACTACAAATTATTTCCAAAAGAGATTAAAGATGAACTATACAAAGAGGTGTGTATCAAGTGGGTTATGTCATTTGCACATCAATAGCGCAAAAAAATCTATTCTTTCAACTTGCTCTATATATTCAATGCAATCCCAATCAAAATCCCAATACTTAATTTTTCAGAAATTGGCAAGCTCATTTCAGAAAATTAATATGAGTGTGCAAAGGCCAAAAATAGCTAAGTTAATCTGTGAGAAACACAGAGCTTACGGGCTTACATTATTTGGTAAAAAGACCTATTGATAGTTATAGTAATTGAGATAGTTTGGGATTGGTACAAAAATAGACAAACTGACTAAAAAAACTGAAGAGAAAATCCAGAAAGTTCAGAGACAGATCCAGACATTTTAATACAAAAGGAAAAAATCTGAGTCTTTTCAATAAATAGTGCTAGGTCAGTTGAATATCTGTGATTTCTACCTCCTGCCAAACATTTCGAGATGGATTTCAAATCTGACTGTAAAAGTCAAAGCAATAAAACTTTCAGAAATAAACCTGAGAGAATGTCTTTGTGATGCAGAAGAGGCAAAGATGCTTTAAATAAGAAAACAAAAATCTCCAGCAATAAAAGAGAAAATGATAAATTAGGTTAGAAGAATTAAAAATAAAATCAAGTAACAAAGAATAAACAATCTAAAACTATATGCAACAACACTGATGCATGTTGGAAATGTACTATTGGCCAAAAGAGAGCAGACAAAAGAGTTCATACCACCTGATTCTATTTATACAAGCAAATACAAATAGAAACAAAATAATACAAACTTTTAGAATTTAGAATAGTAGTTGCCTTGGCAAGGGGAAGAGTGTAAGGGGAGCTCTTTTGCGTAGTGGTAATGTCCTGTTTCTTCATATGGGGGGTGAGAGAACCACGGGTTTACAGTTTTTACAAATTCATTGAACTGTCCAGTTGTGACATGTGTACTTTTCTGTATGTATGTTCTACTTTAATATAAAGCAAAAAATAAACACACATGCTTCTGTGTTTCCCTGTTTTTACTCTGTGGCGTGGCAATATATAGTGCCTATCAATGCATATTTGAAATTCACATCCATCCACTTGATTTATTTGTAGAATAAAATTTACCCAAGACCCAAAAGACCTTGACCTGTGTTCTTACCAACACATAAAGGGAAATTACAAAGCTAACTTTATATGCGAGGGCTGTTAAGTGGCCAGCTAATGTTGGTTTAAATATGATATGGTTTAAAAAACCAGGAAATCTCCAAAGTAAGTTTAAAATGATCTATTATATTTTCTTAAGTTTGACCACGCTCACTCAATCCTATGCATTATGAATCTTTTATCCTTTAGATTCCACTAGCAAAACCGACCTAACACCTGTGAAGGAGAGACATGTTATTAGGGTTTTGTTTTTGAGAGGCCATGCTAGCCAGCTGGACTAACAGATTTCTAAAAGCACGGTCCTCTGAATGATGAGGAAAGATGAAACAGAAATAGACTTAACTTACTTTGTGTAGGCTTATTCCCAATAATACATATATACACATAAGCACCCTCATCTCTCTGCATATGTAAATTCCTTTATTCTCCCTAGGACAGTAAGATCTGATGGTCATTTTTATTTTATTCTTCCGATCCTAAAGCTATACTATAATCAAAATAACTATAATTCCTTTAGAAAGATACTACAATAGGACTCTCACTCTTTTGAGCTGCTGTCTTCAAGTGATTAGTGAAGAGTCTGTAAAGATCAGAATAATAAATAGTAAACTTCAATGAAAAGACCCAAGTCAATGTTTTTATTTCAGGCAGACAGTAAGTTTATATACTTGTGTATGTTTGTGGTTTATTTGTATGTTTTGATTGGAGAAATGAAAGATGGGTAACAGAGGTCACAAAGACAGGACTATACAAGTGGAAAGTATCAGAATTCATGGTGAAGTTACTGTGAAGGCAGGAGTCAAATGGTTTCCAACGTGGTATAATATACTAAGGCGCTGTGCTGAGAAAGCAATTTAAAATCAGTTAGAGACAAGTGGAAGGCTGAATATCTGGGATGAGAAGGTACAAGTCATCAAGTTCACAGCTAGAGGCTTATTCGATGAAACAGGTAAAGTTTAACAAGGTTCTGAAATAAGAGCTAGCACTCTGCTGCTTCATGACAGTTCTACGTTTCAGATGTAAAAGCTTAGAAGCTCTGTACTGGGGGAGAATTAACTATCAAAACTACAGCTAATAGGGATTATTGCTTCACAAGAAAGAGACAACATGTCAAACTCTACCATCCAAAAGATTATTCCTTCTCACTACCAGCCTCAACAGTTGACCCTAAATTGACTCTGTACTCTTTCTTTGACATAGGATTGGGTTCTGCTACTTGTCCTCCTACACAATCCCTGGACAGTGTACAGATTGGATTCCTTCCCTACCTAGAGTTTCACCATCACTGCTATTTCTCATTTGTTTAATACTACTATTGATCAACATCAATCGCACTGCTACCACAGTTGGTAGGAACATCTGTCTCTTCCCTTCATTTCTTTGATCAAAAGGCAGAAAACAACTACCCTATCAACAAACAAAACATCTTGGAGCATAAGCTCAGTTTTAATCAGCTCTTTTTCTATTTCTTAGCTCTTTAAGGAAGCATGAAACAAAGGATTTCTGATTATCCTAGCCTTTTCATCTCCACGGAATTTATCTTCTTACTAGGATAGAAGGAGGCCTGAAAATCTGCTAGGAATGCTGGACGGGGCAGCTGAGAAGCCGAGCTCAGCACCTGCTCACGGGGGCACCGCGTGGTTAACTCAGACAGGTTCAGGGTTACTCTTCTGCAGCCTCCCTCTCTTACAACATATGTCCACAACTTCACAACTCCTTTCCCCAATTACACGACAACTCTAAATTTCCCTCTCCAACAGTATTCCAATCCAAAAGGCAGAAAATCCTACTTATTCTACCACCAGTCTTACCCTAAGACTCCAGCCTCCTGGAGACTATTCCAGGTCTTCAGAAAATCTAGACAACTAGGATAATTTATGTAATGAATGAAAATTAAAAGAAGAAAAATGAACTGAAGGATGTGCACGACACCAAAGTATGGCTTTTTGCTAAAACAAGACTTTTCAGATTTGGCAAGTCTGAATTTCATGAATAATAGCAATACTATAATTATATTGTACTTTAAGTGGCAAAAGTTCCAAATAAGGAAAAGGGGAAAAAAATTCAGATTTATAAAAATGTTTACAGAATGTTACACTATACACAACAGTACAATTAAATTTAACAATTTAAATTTAAACTGAAACAGACAACATTCTTAGAAAGTGATAACGCTTTCATTCTAGAATGACTGAGACATTCAAACAAACCAGCCATGTCAATGAACAAACACCAGACAGCAACTTTATAATGCTTACAGGCTCTGCACTTTACAGTAGCACCCTTAATGGGAAAGTTAATGTAACAGTGAGCTGCTCAGTGCTACAGTAAAATCTTTAGATCATGGAAATAATGGATCATTGCTTTTCCCCCATTGCATTCTTGACCAAAAGCAAGAGAAAACAACAAAAAAGAATAAATAAAAATAAAAGCTTATGATTCATATGATTCAATTAGAGATGCCAACTAGACATTTTCTCCTCCTAAATACTTCTAAGAAGAAAATGTTTAACCCATAGACATTCCATTTTAAACATTCAGTTAGCAACAATTTATTAAGTAACTATAAGAAACCTAAAGGAATATTAATTTATGTAATATGAAATAAAAAATGAAGAAGCATGCCTAATGTTTTTATAAATTCCTTCACTTTTCTGACTGAAGATATTTAAGATGACTTGTTATTACAAAACCAAAGTTGTCATTTAATATAAATTTCAACCTCACAAAAGTTAGTAGTTCATGTATAGGTCATATATATGTCCTGAAAATTCAGATAACTTGTTACTTTTACAGATATTTGCAAAACAATAATGTAATAATGCATGCCCCTTGTATTACCTAAAAAATAGTTGCAAATGTCTTTTATGTAGTGGAAGTAAAGAATAAAATATGTAAATGTTTATGTTTAACCATGACTCAGTTAAGACGAGGGGAAGAAAAACAAATAGTCAAAGGATAAGGATTAAAATAATCTTACTGTTGAAAATATAGGACAAGATTTTATAGGACTTCCTCTTTCGAAACAAAAAGCATTGTAACTTTCTTCAATTTCCTTTGATAAAAATTATCAAAAACCCACTGAACAGGTAAAGGAGCATGTGAATATGGTGTACAAGGTGGCCTTGAGTTGAGACGGCATGACTCAAGGTATGAAAGGAGGGAAGGTTAGCATTCCCCTGGATGAGGATGGAAGAGGCCCTCGGGCGTGCCAACAGCAGACCGTTAAGGCACTGCCACCTACTTCTCCGCAGCTAACGTCCTTTCACTTAGACACTTCCAGCTCTTCTGGCTGTAGTAATTTCCTCAAATGGCCAGGGAGTCCTGAGAGAGATGCCATTGCCACCTAGTTCAAACCTGCCATCTACTTCCCCCGAAACTTCCACCATGCCTTTAGAAAAACCCAAGAAGGAGTCTGTTCCAAGAGTTTCTTCTGATCCTATCGGGACCCCCAGAAAGCAACTGTATCCTTCTTTGTGTCCCTTGGTTGAGACTGTGGGTAGTGAGAGGGGAAAAGTGTGAGTATTCACTCCATTTTCTCTGGCAGATTTAAAATAAATTAAGGTTGATTTAGGAAAATTTTCTGATAACCCAAACAGGTATACAGATGTTCTCCAAGGGTTAGAACAAAGCTTTGAACTCTCTAGGACAGATATAATACTACTACTAGACCAAACTTTCTCTTTTCGAATGAGAAAAATGAAGTCTTGCTGGGCGCGGTGGCTCACGCCTGTATCCCAGCACTGTGAGAGGCTGAGGAGGGAGAATCACTGGAGCTCAGGAGTTTGAGACTCGCTTGAGTGAAAGTGAGACCCCGACTCATGAAAAAAATGGAAAAACCCAGCTGGGCACCACGGTGAGCACCTGTAATCCCAGTGGCTTCCGGAGGCTGAGGCAGCGGGATGCCCACAAGCCAGGAGTCTGAGGTTGCTGTGAACTACCAAGCCACTGCACTCTGCTCAGGGGCACAGGGTGGGACTCTGTCTCAACAACAACAACAACAAAAATTGAAGTCTTAGATGAGGCTAGAAAGTGGGGTGATTTATGGTTCATGCCCAAAACTGATAGCAGCATGTCTCCTGAGGAAAGGGACAAATACCCCAGGGGAAGACAGACAGTTCCCTTTAAGGATCCTGAATGGGACCCTGAGAAACAAGGTGACTGGGGGTGTAAACATTTTCTAACATGTATCCTGGAAGGTTTATGATGATCCAAGAAAAAGCCTATGAATTATTCTAAGTTGTCTACTATTTATCAGGAGCAAAATGAGAGTCCCTCAGCCTTTCTTGAATGGCTTAGGGAGGCGACAGAAAACACACTCAGTTGACACCCAACTCCTTAGAGGGTCAAATTATTTTAAAAGATTCAAGCAGCCTAGATATTAGGAAAAAACTGCAGAAATTGGCTGTAGGTCCCTATGATAACCTGGAAATTCTTAAAATGGCAACAGCAGTCTTTTATAATTGAGATCAGGAGGAAGAGGAGAAAGAAGTAAGCAGCTCTAGTAATGGCACTCTGACAAACAGGTACCAGTGAGGGACAGAGCAAAGCCAGAGAAGCAAAGAACAAGTGTTTCCAATGTGGTCAGACTTGTCACTTAAACAGAGATTGCCCCCGACCTGCCAGGCAAGCCACCGGGCCCCTGCCCAGAATGCAAGGGTGACCACTGGAGGGCAGCCTGTCCCCAGAGGCAAAGGCCTCTTGGGACAGTGACCCCAACTAGACTGAGGGTGCCTGGAGCAGATTCTTACGGCTCCAGCTTGTGTCATCACCCCTCAGGAGCCCTGAATCTGCCTCATAGTGGAGGGCTGGGAGACAGAATTTCTTCTGGACACTGTAGCAACCTTTTCTGTACTTCTGGAAAACGTTTGTAAATAAACAGTACTCTTGTATAGTTCTCTTTAGGAAAGTTAATATCTACTACATATTCTACCACATGTTTCTGTGCATTTAAAAAAATACAATGCCTATTAATAACTACACTGACTGATGATAGTGAGAAGTATAAAGGAAAACCGTTAGTAAATGATTGAAAATAAGAAGAGTCAAGATATCTTTTAAGCTTGGGTAAATTTTATGGGCTTTGAATATTCTAATGATCAAATATAAGATTGTACATATTTAAACTAGACAAGCAAAATAGTAAACTTATTAACAGCTTTTTACTTTGATCTCCTTTTAAATTTGTTACCAATTTGAAATATTCATTTATATAATAAACATGATGAAACTGAAGGATTTCATATGAGGTACAAGAATACCTCATTTTACTGCTCTTTGCTTTATTGTGCTTCAAGAGAACTGTTTCCTCCCTTCACACCCACCACAAATTGGAGGTTTGTGGCAAGTCTATCCTTACCATTTCCCCCCAGCATTTATACACTTCATGGCTCTGTGTCACATTTTGGTGATCACTGCAACATTTCTCAACATTTTTCACTTTCATTATATCTGGTACCGTGGGCTGCGATTAGTCATTTCCATAACATCTTTGACGTCCCTATTGTAATTGTTTTTGGGGACCACAATTTGAGCCCATATAAGATGTTGAACTTAAATATTGTTTGTGTTCTCACTGCTCCACCACCTGGCCATTCCTGTCTTTCTCCCTCATTTGGGCTTCTCTATTCCCTGAGATGCAACAATACTGAAATTAGTGCAATAAATTTATACCACAATGGCTTCTAGCTATTCAAGTAAAAGGAAGAGCTACATGTCTCTCAACTAAACAAATAGCTAGAAATGATTAAGCTGAGTAAGAAAGCATGTCAAAAGACAAAATATGCTGAAAGTGAGACCTCTTGTGCCAAATAGAGAAACTATGAATGCAAAGGAAAAGTGTTTGAAGAAGTTAAAAGTGCTATCCCAGTGAGCACACAAATGATAATGAAAAACATCCAATACTGCTGATACACAAAAACGTTTAGTGATCTGGATAGAAGATTAGACCAGCCACAGCATTCCTTTAAGTTGAAGCCTAATCCAGAGTCGGCTCCTAACTCTGCTCAATTCTATGAAGGCTGACGAGGATGAGGAATCTGTAGAAGAAAACTTTGAAGCTAGGAGAGGTAAGCTCATGAGGCTTAAGGAAAGAAACCGTCTCTACACCATAAAAGTGCAAGGGTTAGCAACAAATTTTGGTGACGAAGCTGCAGCAAGCTATCTAGAACACGTAGCTAAAATCACTGATGAAAGTGGCTACACTAAACAAAAGATAATCAATGTACAGTTAATCTTTGAATAATATGTGTTTTGAACCGTGTGTGTCCACTTTCAAGTGGAATTTCTCCCACCTCTGAGGCAGAAAGACTAATCCCTCTTCACCTTCCTCCCCCTCCACCTACTCAATCTGAAGACCTTTATGATGAACCACTTTCACTTAATGAGTAGTAAATATTCTCTTCCTGATTATTTTCTTACCACCATTTTCTTTCCTCTACCTTAAGTATGGAAGACACAAAACATAAAAAATATGCGTTAGGAGTGGTCTTAAGATGGCTGACCAGAAGCAGCCAGTAGACACCTCCTCCTCCACAAAGAATTGAAAACAGAGTAAATAATCAGACTCTGAATAGATAGATCATCTAAGAACACTGGGATTCACGAGAATAAGAACCACATGAGGAACGGAAGGAGCGGGAAGTGAGGCCGCCTACACAGACCAGGGTTGGCTGGGAACCCAGAGAGGTCCCCAGTGCAGGAAATGCATAAATAAGTGATAGCCAGGGGTCCACCTTTCTGCCCCAGACTCCTGGGTTCCTAACCATGGGGGAGCATTTCAGACTCAGAGGCCCAAGAATCACACAGGAAGCTGCTGGAGACTACAGATGGCAGTGGTGCTGCCACACAGTAGGGTAAGCTGCCAGAAAGTGGAGGCACTGCCAGAGAGAGTGGGGGCGCTGCTGCACAGTACGGGAAGCTGCCAGAGAGTGGGGGCACTGCCAGAGACTGGGGGCGCTGCCGCACAGAACAGGAAGCTGCCAGAGAATGGAGGCGCTGCCAGAGAGAGTGGGGGTGCTGCTGCACAGGACAGGAAGCTGCCAGAGAGTGGGGGCGCTGCCAGAAAGTGGGGGCACTGGGGGTGCTGCCAGAGAGTAGGGGTGCTGCCAGGAGAGTGGAAGTGCTGCCAGAGAGTGGGGGCACTGCTGCGCAGTACAGGAAGCTGCCAGAGAGTGGGGGCGCTGCCAGAAAGTGGGGGCGCTGCTGGACAGTACAGGAAGCTGCCAGAGACTGGGGGCACTGCCAGAAAGTGGGGGCACTGCTGCACAGTACAGGAAGCTGCCAGAGAGTGGGGGCACTGCCAGAAAGTGGGGGTGCTGCTGCACAGTACAGGAAGCTGTCAGAGAGTGAGAGCACTAGAGAGGGGGCTCACCCTGAGTTGCACACCCCTGAGCCATAAGCAGCTATAGCATGGTGCCATTTTTGAGAACCTAGCCCCATCAGACTGCATCTGGCCCTGGGGCCCAAAAGGTCCTTCATCTCTACATCCCTAGAGTGTCTCTGACACCACCTGCCTGTATCTGTTGCTGCTAGGGCCAAGGTGTGAATTATTGTCAACACCCACCGGACAGGCAGTGGGACCACCATGAATATACAAGCTCCTTGAGGGCAGGCTACCTGGCCCATAGTGGCCACAAGGGCTAACGCACATGCCTCCTAGCTGCCTGTCTATGGCTGCTGCTACTCAAATTAACCACACTTTACCCAGCACGAGAGCCACAGTACAGCCACTGTTGGCTCAAATCCAAGCATTCTGCTGGGGTGTGGGGGTAAGTTATCCTATCTACCACAGCCAGGAAATGCATGTTCCACAAGGGGCCCAAGGACGGGCTTGCCTAGCCCAGCTTTGCACTCCACTGTGCACAAGCATGCCATCCAGGGGAAGGGGCATTTCCTGCCTAAGTATCACTATTGGTACCTGAGCCCACTTCCTGAGGGCCTTGGCTGGCCACTACCATCATAGCTGGTACATTCCTGGATGTATCATTTATGGACCTGGGGATGGGTCTATACTGCCTACTACAACCATAGGGTTGGGTCATCCCCAACATAACACAGAACACTTGGGAACCATAGTTACTGCCCCTGCCACTGTCATGCTTGCAGCCCAGGGCCCCATGGACCCATCAACGTACCTGCCCCACTACTGCCATTGCCAGCACCTAAGCAAGCTGCCTGGAAGTCCAAAAATCAGTCCACCTGGACTCACTAATGCTGTTGCCAGGATATACCACCCTGAGGGCCAAGGACAGGCACATTTAACCTGCTGC